TCACACTAGATTATTTTAATATTTCTTATTTAAAAAACTGCTGAACGCTTAAACAAGACGTAAAAGTGCCATTTTTGTGCTATTTATCTTCATAAATAGAACAAAGAGGAATTTCTTTCATCCGGAAATCCGGAATTAGGAAATGGTAATTAATAAATATTTGGTGGTTTTAACACCTCTATGTCACTCCTTGTAGCTATATCTATATGTGAAACACCTTTTTCCGACCGTTGGTTATTACTAACAACGATCTCACACGAAGTACAAGGCCACGATTGTGGCACAAACGACAACAACGCGCCAACACGTGATTAAAACCATAGTATCATTGCTGTGTTAATTAACTATTTTTTTTACTTCAACTTGTTTTTTTACTTCAACATTTTGTTTTTCAAAAAGAAAAATACCCTGGACGAACTCTTTCACCGGGAGCTCTACTGCTACTAAAATTTCTTCATTGTTTTTTAATTTGGCCGAGTATTACATTATTTGTCAGTAATTGTTTCGGACGGAGCACGAAAGTAGACCCCCTGAGAGGAGACCCGTGCCCGGTAGTGGGACTTATGTGGGTGAATGATGACAAGTAAAATAATTTAACAACTAGATATTTTACATGTGGAAGCTGATGCCGTTTATTTGTCGTTTTGATGTATTTTTTTTACGCTTTTACGAAAACCGTCCGTTATTATCCGTTAACCATTAACCCGTTGACTAGTTGATCGATTGCTTTACTATTTGTTTCGATCAAATGATCAGTACAGATTATTAAAAAAACCGACCTCAAAAGTACGTGGAACGCCAAGTTTTATTGAAATATTGCCTAGTTCGCCACTATACAGAACTTGACACAGGAGATAATAAAAATCGGTTCTCACTACTCAAAGTATATTGAGACAGAAAAACGCCTTGAATTGGAGAATAGCAAAACCAACCATTAAAATAATTGCTCCTTAAGTAAAATTTAGGCGCCATTTATATATAGAGGTGGATGATTTTCTTCAAAATGAAATGGGATCACTATGGAGGTACCCTCTTTCCAACAAAAAAATTATGAAAATCGGTTCACAAATACCGGAGTTATCGCGTAACATACATACAAAAAAAAAACAAAAAAATACAGTCGAATTGAGAACCTCCTCCTTTTTTTGAAGTCGGTTAATAAAGAAATGCTTATTGGTTATGAATTTGGTAGTATTCAATTTGGGGTGATTAAAAGTTATCCAATGTTCTTTTTAAACAATTTTTTGTATTTTATGAGGAGAGTGAACACTCGAAATTGCGAAGTACATATGTGAAATTCCTGATGATGCACATCACTTGCTCCTATGATCATGAATGTTGGATGGTTTCAATCCGTTTTGTCTGAGCCAACAAGTAGCGAAGATTTTGTTTATATGTTTAGTTAGTATTTTGATTTATCTATTTGGATTCTATTAAGTGTTTTTTGACGTATTGTTAATAGAACTGACATGTTCCACAATTATAAAAAAGCCCCTAAATAAATAAAGAGTTAAAAAAAATTACAATAGTTACAGAGAGCGTAAGCTAGAGCTAAGTGGATATTTTTAACCATTTTTAATATTTTATACTTTGGTACAGTGTTTTAGAAATTATAATTGCAATGATAAATATTTTCACAAAATAAACATTTTATGAAAATATGTACGTTAGTTAATTGTGTGTTCTCCAACTGAAGTTCGGAGCACATAGGACGTACCATTGTTGATTTTTATCGTTTATTGTTCATTATTTCTAGAGCTACGGTCTTTAAGAAATAATTAGTACTCATCGTACTGTACAGTTCACGTTTTGCTTTAGTGTCTCTTTGCTTTCTTTAATTAGTTTTTTAATTGTAATTAAGTTTTATTGAATGTGAGGATGCTTTACCACCGTGGTATTCAACTATTTTTTATGAAATTACTACACTAGTTTGTTATAATTATTAAACGAAGATCGAATACTTAGAAAAAAATTACTTCGATCCGGTTGGATTAGAACCAACGTGTCCCAGCAAACCGTGTCAGACGTTATGCTAACTAAGCCACGAAATGAACGGAACGACATGTTGCCGTAGCGGCTATCTGTGACTTCTGTGAGAAGTCTGTGAAGGCTTTTAATTTTTTTTTTAATAAATATACAATAATAAAATAAATAGTAATAATAACGTACACACTCAATACAGCCCCGCACTAGGACAACCCTGTGTCGCGGGTATCATTAGTTATTTGTTTACATGACATTAGAATACTTTGAGCTAACATTATAGTAAAATATTAGGGAACGGATGGGAGGAAAACTAAAAATATATATGCACAGAGTTAGACCCGCCGCGATCCCGACCCGACACGCGCCCGACCCGCACCTAGTCTCGGTGTGTTTCACGCTTTCAGACGTTTGACTATTCCCGCTTTGCAACGCGAGTGCACCACGAGATTGTGGGAATGTGTGCGCAAGCACACATACAAGCAGCGCTGCTACGTTTGTATGGAGTTACCATCCTTGTCTTGTCATATTATTTATAATTGTTAGGTATACGAATTTCGGTAGCTCAGCAGTTAATACGGGTAGTGCCCTGGAGTTAATATCATTGCTCTGGTACTCATAGTACGTACATGATATTTTCTAGTCTAAGACTTGGCGATTATTGTGATTCCCAAAATAAAAACAAAGGAAGAAAAATAATAATAATTACGACAATATCCAGCCAGATTGTGCAACTAAAGATGAGAGATTACTAACCTTCTAAGGGCGTGTTCAGTGCGTGTTTGAACTCTATGAATCGTGCAGTAATGCAGCTGTTTAGAAATAAATACCTTTTCAATTACAATCAATGTCACTGCTGTTTTTTTTCGTGATTTCCACTATTTATTACTAGGTAAAGGTCGTGGCCCAGTTATAATACACTAAATTATATTTATTACTCTTTTGTTTGTAGAAGTTTTAACACAGGATCGGTGCTGTTTTATTGTAATCACATTTGTCATGACCATAGATGAGAAACTGGGAAAAGGCTGCGTATATTTGCCGAAATTTCAAACAATTGATATAAAAAAGGTGTACCAGACTCTGATAGCACTTACATAGATTTAAATTTGTATTGGGCAACATCGATATAGTAGGAAGAATTGTACTAGATGTTTCATATCTTAATAATTTAATTGACCAGAATGGATCTAATGCTCGTACATGTTTTAAGATCTGTATGAATTTGTAAATAATTTCTGTCACATTTTAAAGTTAAACAAAAATATATCAATTACGTTGTGGGTGATAGATTTATTTACGTTTGCAGTTTGAAGTAACTCGCATTTACGCTATTTTTCTTTTTTTACCCATCATTGTCTACACACTGTAGTCTTGCCGACTAGTACCAACAAAAATTACATACCACATGCATTGATTTGGCTTCGTTAAAATTTCAAAGATCTAGTCTATTTATCCCTACTAATCGGCAAGATTTGAGACCCACTTCTAAATCGTAAATTGTTATTTAGAAGCACCTAATTCGTCGCTGATTTTGCGATAAACATTATTACAATGTTTGTTGCTTGCGATTGAAGCGGATTCTCAGTAAAAAAACCGAGACCACGACAGCATGAAGTTGATTACGACTTCACTCATTAACTGCATACTGTCGATCTCGGCTGCTTGAAGTCGGTTTCGATTACATGCAGCTAATGTGTGAAGTCGCTATAAACTTCTCGAATAACGATTTCACTCATTAACTGCAAACATGCAGTCAAGTCCTTGCTTATTGCAGCCGCCAAGCAGTAATGTGTGCATTACTACGTTCCGGTTTTAAAGGATAACGGTGTTGATGACACTACAGGCCCATGGCACTTACACGCCAGTCCATAACAGTTGCAGTGCCACTCCGAGCAAGATTTCACAAGGGGCACTGCCACTGCACCAGTCACCTTGAGACATAAGTTGACAAGCCTCATGTGCCTGTAATTTCACCAGCACCAGTAATCCTGACATAACTGCTTGGCGACAGAAACAGGTAAGGTGGCAGTACTTCCCTGGACGAACTCTTTCACAAGAAACTACAGCTACTACTACTGGTACTAAAATATTCATGCGTCCTTGTTACGCACGTGGCAAGATGGACCCCCGTGGCTCATAAACTCAATGATAATTGCCAGATCCCAGGTAAACCGTACATAAGGCGTACTCTGAACTGTCCATTACCTTAGTAGTTATGAATAATGGCCATGGTCTAATGGCCGATGGTCGAGTAGGTGATAATCAATTTTGTCAGAAAATGTACGGAATTAGTACTTTTTTACTAATTTTTTTTCAACCCCATGGAAGAAAAAAAACAAGGTACCTTGATAATTATTGGTCATTGTTTCTAATGTAAGATGTAACAAATTCTGGAATGTGTCAGTCAACCGTGACTGTGGGACCTGTAAAGGGCACGAAACGTTGGTTTGTTTGAAAAAACAAATATACGCGATTTAAATCCGGAAAAATAGTTTCATTTCCTATGTGTAACAATCGCGAAAACCTAAGAACTCGATAAATTCTGGATTGTTAATATATATAATTTAAACTTTACCCAGTCGTTGAAAGTTTTAATACCTTTATTGCAAGTTACGACGTTTTGATTTTATATTGAAATTTTATTCAACGTTCTGTCGTCTTGCGGCCAGTAGCTGGACTACGACGAACGATTAACATCTGAATCAATTCGATAAACAGAAAATTGAAAATTTATTACCGATGATATGAAATACTAGTACGGGTGATATTTTTGGCGTGGCTATCATTTTTTTATCCGAAACAGCCTTTTTCTGCGATTTTAAAGAATTTGCGCTGAAGAATGACACAAACATACAAAGCAAAAATGGCGAACTGAGCGAATGTACTGTATTTATTGTTCTGTGATCAACCCTGTAGAAAAAGCTGTTCATATTACTTATGACGCCGTTAAATTCAAAGACGTACCTTGATAGATAACAAGCATGTTTAACTAACTAAACACCGTTTCCTAGAAGGCAGTAGATGGAAGGACTGGCTTCTCGCATCCCTACTCCTCGGCGCGTTGGTGGGCGGATGGGCAGCGTTGCGTGCTGGTAGGGCCTCACGGGACCAGCTCAAGAGAATGCTGAGGGACATGGAGCAGCTGCGCAGGGCTGAGATGGCGCTTGATGACATGCAGAAGGAACTTGAGAAGGCGAGGTTGGAACAGGTAAGACCGTTAACGTCGAAGATTGACTTTCAAACAGCACGTCAGTAGCGAGAGCCTTATTCTCGCTACTGACGCAAATTCAAATCAATTTACAATGCTGCAGAAATGAAAGGAAGCTAATTTTGTTTTCGAAAACGTACATAGCATCGGGTTTTTCAATAAGGACATAACAGTTTTGTATTTCAATAAAATACATTGAAATATCGATCTGAAATTTAATAATAATTTATTGGTGCAATACACATATTACATTTAAGAATGGAATTCGATCTCGTTCATATGACCACTGCGAGCACGTTTGTAGCGTTCAATACTTTGAAGCCAATTTTCCACCACTCTTTCTCACATAGTGGACGAAATATTGGCAATTTCGATATGATATTATTCCTGAGCTTATTTACGTTTCCTAATTTTGCAGGAAAGCGCAACTACAGAGAAGAAGAATCTAGAGAAGAGATTAAGAGAAGCAGGCGATACGCCGCTGTTAAACTCCGCGTCTTCCGACTTAGAAGTATCACAACTTAAAGCTGAAATTGAGGTAATGATTTTTGTGGCTAAACACTGTAGTCTCCTACAACGACGTTAATGCACTTTGTATTAAAAAGAAAAAATAAAGAAAGAATATACATTGAATTGACTAACACAAATTGACATCAGAAAAAGAAACGAAACAAAACAAAAGAAAAAAAGTTAAAGACACAAACAAAAAATAAATTAAAACACAGAATATTCACGTAATCAAGGACACCAAATATACAGATACTTTAATAAAAACTATGAGACTTAAATAAAAACTATGAACACTTGGACGTTGCAAGGCGGGTTACAGTGATTCAAAATTAATTCTTGTATCATATACATGTTACTTGATTTCATTTAGAGCACTAACGGGACACAGTGGCTTGAATAAGCACATGTCCAAGCTCAACTTCGGAGAGCAGAGAAACACCTGATTTTGTAAAGAATTTAAAAAATATGCAAGTTTTCATACGATACCGAGATTTTTTGGTGTGTTCTAGTGAATTTAGACTTAATTAAAATTTCACGGTGGCCATCATTGCAGATGTTAAGGGCAGAGCTTCGCCGCGCGGAAGGCGAGCTGGAAGACAGGTGCTGGGCACCGCCGAGCGGGCTGCAGCAGTGGCTGCAACTTACCCACGAGGTCGAGAACCGCAATTATCTGCGCAAGAAGCAGCAGGCCGAGTTGCAGCTACAGATCGCCAGAGAAGCGGTGAGCTATCCCCGAAATACGTATCACAAAATAGGAGTATCATCCTTACTTGGTCAATATTCCCTTTTGGCGTACTAAGCTCTTTTTTGTCATCTTTTATTAAGCGCACAGCCCAGGAATAGCATTCCTTGGCTGCGATTGTTTCCAAGCACGTACAACCCGAGTATTTGTTTTATTTTTAACAGACTTCAAAAAAAAAGAGGAGGTTCGTCTGTGTGTTTTTTTGTATGTATGTTACGCGATTACCCGGCATTTGTGAACCTATTTTGATGATTCTTTTTTTGTTGGAAAGAGGGTATTTCGGTATTGGCCCCATTTAAATTTGAAGAAAATATTCCACCTTTAAGGGTGGCAAACTAGGGGATGAATCCGGTTTCGCGCTTTCCGGTAACCAATTTCAATAAAACTCGACAAAGTCGGTTCTTTTTTTATGAAAAAGTTATGACGCCGATTGAAAGGGTTAATTATAAGGATTTATTAATTTTAAGTAGCACAGTATCTTAAACCTTTTTGATCGACATTATAAAAATACAGGTTTTTTTTTTCACATTTGATCTGTTCGATTTCCAGACGAGTCAAGCAACTTTGTAACAGTCTTTCAATGCAGTGTTAATTGATTTAAAAAATTAAATTAATTCTCTATGAAACAATGTATTCTATCTACAATAAGAGAAAAGACAAAAAGATGAATCAGCATCTATAATTATCGTATACATATGTATCATATCATATCCATGATTATTTATCAAAGAAAATATATCTTCATAATTTCGTATATATCGCACTGCTATTACAATAGTGTTATAACTTAAAATATTTTAAATTCAATGTTATATCATTACTGAACGTAAAATTTGATTCAGGAAATTGAATAAAAACGTCTTAACTCCTATGAATTACACTTTATGTGATCCAATTTTGGCCAAAATAGTCCTTATTAAAAAATGTGAATATTTTTTCCGTTTTATTTTTAAATATATTTGGCGAGTAGAAAATTGTTTAAATGTCTGTAATAAACTGTAACCTATACATAAATTTTAATGATCTTTCACGGGAAGTGTACGTTTGTCATCGTTTCTGAGAAATTCCTTTTTTTGAGTTAATACACTTTTGTATCAAGAGTGCAATGTACTAACACAGTGTATTTATTTTATTACCAGTGTGAGAAACTCCGCAAGAAACGCTCAAGCCTCGTGGGCGCATTCGTGTCGACACACGGCAAGTCGATCGACGACGTGGACCGATCCATCGTAGAGGCGCGCACGGCGCTCAACGAAGTCACGCAGGAATTACAGGTTAATTACATACAAATAACGTTTGTGTAAAGAGCTCATTGTAAATTGAATTTGTGACTATACAAAAAAAAAATTGTGGTCTGCCACCTTAGCGTAGCTAGGCATGACCGTCGTGACATGCGCGATAAAATTGAAATAAGCGCGCGGTATTGGCTGTCTTAATCATATCTAATTTACATAGCCTATAGGGCGCGCTCATTTCAATTTTATCGCGCGCGTCGCGACTATCATGCGTAACCATGCTACGGGGGCTGGAGTGCATTTGTCTATACCATAGATTCCCAAAGTGGTCCCTACCGCCCAGTGGGCGCTGAAGACTCCTAGGAGGGGCGGTAGCGACCTCGGAAGCGCTCGGGGAGCGTCAAAACTGCTCGAGTCGAATCTGCAGCAGGGGTGCTAACACATTTGAAAATAATCCTGAATTACCTATATAAACTGCACTACTAATATGTAATTTTTATGTTAATATAAAAAAATACGTGTCTTCAATTATTTTGTTGTGGTGCCCACCACCACAAAATAATTGAATTTATGTTTCGTTACTAAGTGGGCGGTGTGTCAAAAAGTTTGGAAACCTATGGTCTATAGTCTATGAAATATCTTGAGGGCGTTTAATCCTAAAGCGTGCCTTTAAAATTCCAAGTTGTTGCCGGCAAGTCGCTTCGCCCATGTAATCGAAAAAGCGTGTTTACTTTTGATTTAAAAAAAAATTGTCATTAGTTCATGCTTCAGGAGGGGGACGTTTTTTCCCGGCAACGACATTTGATATTTTGAGAATCTGGCATTCTGCGAAACTGGCATTTTGTCCGTTTGGCATTTTGCGTTTCTGGCATAAAACGTCTAAACGAAGTCCGGTACAACCCTCATAAAAATGTTTGAATTTCGAATCGCGTACTTGGCAGGAGCGCATGCACCGGTGGAAGCAGATTGAGCGGCTGTGTGGGTTCAACATCATAAACAACAACGGACTGCAGTTCCTGGAGAGTGCGCTTTACAGGAATGTCAACGGACGACCCGCAGGGAGAGGTTAGTATTTACTTTTATTACATACATACACACGTAATCAAGCTGTCGCCCTATTGGGTAGGTAGAGACTACGGACCACCTGCTGCAATCCTGAAACCAAAATGTCAAATTTTTTTTAAACATCAAGTGACGGGACGAACAAGTCGTGCGCCTGATTGCAAGCGACACTCCTGTCCATATCAGTTGCTGTGTGCCACTCATAGCTTTAAATGGAAAAGTTCTGAGGTGCACTGCGCTCATCACCCAGAGACATAAGTTGGCAAGTCCCATGTGCCTGTAATTTCACCAGCACCCTTACCCTTCAAAACCGGAACGCAATGATGCTTACATTACTGCTTGGCGGTAGAAATAAGTAAGGTGGCTGGTCTTCCCTGACGAACATTTTTTCGAGGAGCTATTGCTACTAAATGATGGATGCTGATTTTTACCTCATGATCAGCGGATGCTGATTTTATGTATTTAAAAAAAATGCGAAAAGTGTATATCGTTACTTAAATAAAAAGGTTTCTATTTTCTTTGGTATTGTAATAGAATATTATTTCAATGATTTTGTCACATTTATTAACAAAAGAATCCATCAGCATGAAAACAATCAATCTGTTTACCTTAATAGTTCAGAATTTTATCAAAGTTACATTACAAAAACAACAGCTGAACTGCTTTTTCAGCTTACAATCTGTTTCTGGAAGATTTGTAAATTATTCCAGCGTGCCTTTTACATGTCACGACTGGAACATCCGCAATGAATATCAGCATGGATGAATGCAGATGCTGATATTTTAATTCATGCAGATTATCCTCGGATGCTGATATTCGCAACAACACTGGTTAAAAATGAGAAAAAATATCCTGTATTTTTAACCGACGTAAAACAAAGGAGGAGGTTCTCAATTCGACTATTTTTTTAGTGTATATAATAATAATAATAACGCACACACTCAACATAGCTCCGCACTAGGGAAACCCTGTGCCGCGTGTGCCATGGACACACACATAGACAACCACAAATTACACCCAAACTCCGAGAGAAATAAATGTAGGCCATACAAATATTTCTCCTGGCCCGGAAATCGAACCTGAGACCTCTGCGTGGCAGTCGGGCATGGTAACAGTTCGGCCACGGAGGCAGAGTATAATGTATGTTACGCTATAACTTATTACGCTATTAATTTGTGATCCGATTTTCATGATTATTTTTTTGTTGCAAAGAGGGTACCTCAGTATTGGTATTGGTTGCCACTTAAATTTTTTTTAAATATTCCATCTATTCAATGTGCTACATTGATTAGAGTTACTAGTTAATGTGATTTAATAGAAAGAGTGATTTAATTTGCAGTGCGCATGAGCAGCTCGCAAGACGACTTGAGCATTGGCGACGACGTTTCGATCTGCGGGTCAGGTAAGCTGGACGACGTGTCGCTCTACCACGAACATAGCGAATAGTTGTATGTATGTACGCTAAAGGCCAACACAGACTACGGGACTTTTGTTCGCGGAGCCGTTAAAGCATATTTTATGGAAGACGGCAATTAATAGTATGAGTTTTCTTTGCATCGTGTACAAAAACGGCGTCGTCTGCCTTGCTGCCTTAATGTCGCGCTGTCACTCTTAGCAAAAATAACGTGACTTATAATTTTGACGGAAAAAAGATTTTAAATATTTGAATTCAGAATTTCAATCCTAAGTTCTAAGGTAAATTATTAATTTTCGTCAACAAATTGTAAGTTACGACATTACTGCCCTAAGGGTGTTACTTTATTTGGCGTTACTTTTTATGCTGTAGTTGGTGAAATTGTTTTTGTAACTGACGATAGGATGAAAGATGGCCGACGCGCATTTACAAGGCTATTTTCAAACAGACAACGCGTGTAACCAGAGCTATATAAAAGTTATACGTGAACAAAGCACATATGCTACGTCACATGAAGTAACAATTTAAGGTGGACGCGTGTTTAGATTTCCCCCGCATTTTCTAATAAAAAGGCATGTACGGCACGTAAGAATGCGGGGAGTAGTACTTAATTATTAAAATATTAAATTGGACTCGTTCATATAAAGGGAATTCGCCGTAAGTCATTATCAGAGATCATGTGCAGAAATTACCTAAACTTCATAAAGTTGATAATACATCCATCTGAAATCCCGGAATTTGTTAAAAATAAAATGCAAAATATCAAAAAAAAGTAGATTTCTCACAGATGGTGCTACAGCAACTAAAGTTAAAAAAAACAAAGATCTGAAATAAGCACACAGAAAAATTCGTTTGGTCTGCTGGTTCGTTCCGTAGCTTAGTTGGGAGAGCTTCGGCCTAGTATGCTGAAGACGCTGGTTCCGATCCAGCCGGATCGAATCTCTGTGTTCGATCTTTGTATTAATAATTATAACAAACGAGTGAAGTAAATTCACAAAAAAAAAATACTGTAGTAGTATCACAAAACGTTTCTTCTAAATATCGCAGGCAATAAAGTAATTGCTAGTTAAACAACAAAAATTTAGAACAAAACAGAATACATTAATTCCGACTTTTCAAAAGGAGGTATTATTCACTCTGTGTACTACTTCCTTCCAGTTTCGGTAAGTATACTCTGCCTTTTCCAATCTGTGGTCATTAGAAGTATATACAAATTGACAATGCTTTTGTTTCGTAATATTTTAATCTGCAATTCTACTCATTGGCGCAAACAATATTTACTATGGACACCACATCATATTGCGAAAAATATTATTGCTTGTCCCTGCTAAATGTGTCCCGTTTTTCGTGCCTCGTGAAAAATCGTGTAATGAAATTATGTCACCATGTGTAACCAAAATACCCCCCCTATTTTTTTATAATTGAATTTTTAATATTCACGACATTGACTCGAGTTACAATTCGTATCATCTGGACCCATTTTCAACAGCATAAGAAACTTACAGACAAATACGCGTTCACCTTTACGTAATGGGATCTGATATTATAATCAAACGTTTGCCTGATGAGCTCAATTATTATTGGTTTTTGGAGTCGATATCTTGTCGCGTTATCTGTTGCATCAACTTTTTTAATAAAGGCGCATAAAATATTGCCACCATTATCCACAAAATCATTATTCGAAATTGCAGATTTTTTTTATAATGGCACTCACATACTTCGTGCCAACGTCCAAGGAATAGAATAGACAGAAAACCAAAAAAGAAAAATTAACTTATTAATTTCATATTAATAGAATTAGGGATCTCCTTCCACATTGTGTAATAGCTTAACAGTGTTGTCGAAACTTTTTTGATGTGCTCATCTCTCTCTTTGGCGTAGCTCTGTTTCTTTCGATTGCCTCCAAAAATTAATTTTCATCGTATAAAAGACAAATCATATCAAGTAATGTTGCATTGTAGAAAATCATTTATATTTTGTTCTTTTTAGCATTAACTTTCACCTTAGAATGTAGTTGCAGTGCCAATTTTCGATAACTTTGGTGTCAGGGGAATTTGTACTCAAACTATTGCTTGCCATGACCGGGGTATTATAAGAAGCTAGTTCTAATTTCTCACATCCTTTAGAACGGAGAGAAGAAAGGATGCGTTTAAACAACCGATATGATTTTATTATTTTTAGTAAACTAACATATATAGTATTTAAATTTCGAACATATCTGTTGACAAGCCACACGCGGAATGGTTTTTATTATACACATTTATAAATTCCCCTGAAAAAAATCGGAGTTGTTTTATATTTTTGACATCTAGTACAATTTTTTTATATATATATGAGTGATACGGAATATATACAATAATTAAGCATACTATTTGCGTAGACACTGTTATGTGATAATTGAAAAAAAGTTCTAATTTTTATATCGGTAATGGAATTTCTTAATAATATTATTAATCTTATTGTGATATTGAATGAGCCATAAAAATGAATACTAGTAAGAATAAAGTATTCCAAAATATATATCTAGTTGTAGGTAAATAATTTATATTAGCGATGTAGTGCTCAAGAATTACTCGTTTTTCATTATAGCTTAAGTTGCTCTCGAACGTCAATTCTGGCAGTACATTTCTAAACTAAAATTTTGCGTAGACTAAAATGAAAAAAGAAAATTTTGTCCAGCAAGAGACTCCAACACGTCAAATTAATTTTAATTTAAAATTGTATCCTAGGGAACGTGCAACATCTAATAACTTTATCTTTTGTCAGAGACTAGATGTTGTCGCTTTTGACAAAATCAAGTCTAAACTCCTGTTTTCTAAATGTCTATAACTGTTCTAAGTATTTTCCAACGAATTATCATTTAATGACTTTTTTAAATGTTCTCCTCTTTTTTTATCTTCGATTCATTTTCAGTAGTTCTATATGATGGGGCACTAAATTGTACTTCCAGTGGGTTATTTCACTTTTGATTGAAGCTTTAGCATTTTGGCATATGTCCCAAAACCCGCCACATCATGATCACTAAGTCGTTATCACTAGTTACAGTTTTCTTGCCACCGCACACGTTTTAATTAAATTATCATTTAGTTAAAAATCGTGATTGTCAGTATGGACGCGACACTCGTGTCGCATATTCACCTATCATATTGTTCTCCTCAAACTACCAATTTTGATACGAAACAGTGGCAAAACGCGCCAGACATCTAACACGCCTAAATTAATATTTGGTTTTAATGAAAGTTATTTATATTTGCACATTTTCTGCAGAATCGACTCCCAATTTGTACTTAAGAATTAAATTACAAAAGCAATCTTAATTCACTACACAAATTTGATATGAACTCCCTTTATGCCTAAACTTAAAGGGCGTGCTAACAACAAATACCAAATCGTAAATATATACTTATACAAATTGAAATAGGTCTCAAATTTGAAATCTCATATTTAAGAAAAAAGGTGTAGAGTTTATGGATTATATTTTACTTAAAAAAGTCGAAGTACCTATTGGCTTCGTTGTAATATTAGTGAGAATAACGAAATTAGTAAAATGCATTAAAAACATTGACGATATGTTATGTTAAAAGTGGTTTATCGTGCCATAGTATTTGAACAGAAAAGTGTTAGACAACAAAATGGCGAACCACCTACGGTTATACAATGGAGCTATTGTTACAACCAAGCCAATTTTAATATAGTAGATAGTTCCTGACGATCTTAACTTAAACATCGGAAACTTAATATTAATACTTATTTCCACTTATACTTAACGGTGTCAATTCTGTTAGATCAAAATTACAACTAAAACTAATTTGATCGATTAAGTTAGTAAATGCTATTTTGTAAAACTATTTAAAGCTAGTATTTCCGTTAACTTTGTGGTTGTAGTAACAGTTTATTTTTATTTCTTTTTAAAACGTAAATAAGTGATTATGATAATGAAAAAATCACCGAAGTAATGATATTTTTCTTCGAACTTGCTGAGATTTTTCTTCGACGCTGGTTATGTTGCGGAGCCATTTTCTTTTATTGATATCACGAACATTAATGGCAAAATTCCTTCAAGGAAAGTTACAGTTTTTACTTGAATAGAGTTAACAAAAGATGATTTTTATGCATAAGAACGATAGCTGCACACAATCTTTTTTGGTAACTGTTTTTCATGTTTTTTTTGGCAAGTTTGTGGTCACATAGATTATACATACAGTGCTAAATTTAAATACGATATTTTTATTACAATCTACACTGGGTGTTTACGTAATTATTAAATAATGCACATTTTTATGTACGCGAGGTTACTGGAGATACTGCTCTGCAATGTTACATGACGCTTCAAAATATTCCGTGAACGCGATCTCTTAGGCATGGCGCGAACCAAAAATTAGAAACGGTCACATAACAAAATAATTTATTTTTATTTATTTATTGAGTATTGGCTTATAGAGCCGTCAGCTTAAGAAGATAACTAATATATTAAGAAACTCAAATACTTTTTAACTATAAATTAATTTGTGTAAAAAATGTAACTACAAAAACCCGCCATTTTTTTCACTGTCAATAAAATAATTACTAGATGTCTTTTGTTTGCTTACCAATGCGTGCAAGAGGCACTAAAACGTTTCATCATTTTTAAGTTACAATACATAATTAATCGACCTCTAGCAATGTTTTACTCGAATTAGTTTTAGTGACAGAATTGATCCTGATATTTATTTTTTGTAGTTTTTAAGTTGTCTTTGTATTTTAGTATATTTTTTGATTTAATAAAAATTTTGAGAAGTTTTATTTTTGTCACAATCGATAGGAAGCTTTCAGGCATTTTTTTTCTTCTTATTCCGATGTTAAGTTCACATTCGGAATTCAAAAAAGCATGTATGAAATAAGGTTTGAAAATACAGATGTGTTTCGCCCATTTTTTTTTTTTGGTGTGGGTTTTTTCATCCACTTATTGCATGTTCTTTAATGTCCGTAATAGAAGTATTGCCATTTGAAATATTATATTTGTTTATTTGTTTTTTTTTTAGCTATTTTGCACTTGGGAAACGCTGTTGGGTTGTCTGTTGTAGATAAGATCATGGGATCAAATTTTCGTAGTTGTGTAGTTAACTTTTCGTTTCATTGATAATTTATAAAAAAAAAGTTTTCGTAGATAATAATTGGCTTTGCAAATACTTGTTGCTTTAATGCTTACCGTGTTTTTTGATTAATACATTAATTTTGTTTAATCTCTTTTTTTAAATAAAATTTTATGTAAACAAAAACACTAGAACTGCGATATAGAGTATTAGAATAGAATTTACGGTTGAGTGTGTAGTCTTTTCTAAATATAATAATAGTCTTTTCTAAATATAATAATATCCTCCTTTTGGGTTAGTCGGTTAAAACAACAGATTTTCTGCTCTCTATCGACATTGTACGAAAAATAATAATAAAGTTTTGTTTTTACCCCTGCACGTTTGAAAGCTTTTGACGATTGTGATTTGTTTTATTTGGCATAATATTATCCTCACACATTTGAAAACCATACTGAGCTATTCTCCTTCGAATTTAACTTTCTGTATTCGGTACAGCTGTCTCACTCACTCTCTCTCTCTCTCTTTCTCTCATCTACCATTATAGAACTACACATTGGAGGCAAAAACAATACTCACGTATTAAGACTAGATCTAAAATTCAGAGGATAATAGCATTTAAGAGTATCAGATTTTGGTTCGTTATGTTGTTGGAAATCTAAATTGTTGGGAATCTACCACTCTCGCACGGGTCACATACTACGAAATAAAATGATCTTAGTCAAAAATTTGAGTACTCGCTTTTTTCGAAAATTTAATATAATTTTGACCACTAACTGTACTTGCGTCCCAATGCCACTGAAAGAAAAACTGTTTTTCGAATCGCTTTTTCGTCTGTTACACATTTATTTCTAATACTTCAGAAAACTTTGCGTGGACACAACAAATGCATGACAGTTTTATCGCAGTCGAATGAATAATAATGGAACGCATATAGTCCTGGATATATTTAGAGAACTTAAAAAAAAAAAGAGTGAATTGTAATACCAACTTTCATATGACCACATTATACTAGAACGTTTCGAAATCAAAAGTGGATTGAATTCATTCTTTTTTCAAATCAAACGTTCTCGTATATGTGGCAGTGCTTCATATGAATATAGTTATCTTAATTCAAAATTTTTAGCGTTCCTCTGAATATATCCATGAGTGTATATAATCTGTATAGATAATGTAAAAACAGAAACTAAAAGACATAATCTTTGAGTGATATGGAAGATCCGAACAATATTCGAAATTCGAAATCTGATACCCTCATTGTATGGTGTATATTTTTTTGTTCCTTACTCCGTTTTGGGTTTGCCATAAAGTAGACGCTTGATACAGGTAAGATTGTTTTTTTATATATAATTATTATTTACTTTCTCATTGTTGCTTACTGTAATCGCTAACTAATCCTCTCTATATTATTTCATACATGCTTCGTATAGGTTTGATGATTATTAAGAATATATGACAGTTTTTTTAATGAACAAATGATACAAATCTTTTGTAACTAATATATATACCGAACTATTACTACTTTTTAAAATTATACAAAAGATCTTAATTATTAGGGGTGAAAGTTTGAAATTGCCGTTTTATTGCAATAGGTTCTTTGAATTTTCATAGAATCTTCATGGTTTGAGGTTTTCGAATGAAACTTTTTTCAAATGGTTTCTGTGATTTTTTTTTTTTAATTTAAAACATTTGAATATCGACTTTCAATTGTTTTTGTTATTCAATTTAGACAAGAAAGATGGATACTGCGAAAATTCGAGTGATTTTTGAATACGAGTTCCGACGCGGAACTAACGCGGCAGAAACAGCCCGCAATATCAATGCTGCGTTTGGAGAGGGGTCTACTAATGAACGCACCGTGCGATTTTGGTTTAAACGCTTTCGTGATGGAAATTTCGACTTAAAGAACGAGCCAGGAGGAAGACCGCCCACACAGGTGAATAACGATGAATTAAGAGAGATAGTGGAAGCCGATCCTAGTCAAACTACCCAGGAATTAGCGGCATGGTTTAACGTTACCTTACCCACAATATTGACTCACTTGCGTCAAATCAATAAAATAAAAAAATACGAAAAATGGGTGCCTCATGATTTGACTGATCTGCAGAAAGAAACGCGTGTTGAAACTTGTGTTGCCTTGTTGAACCGGTACAGAAATGAAGGAATATTGGATCGAATTGTAACATGTGATGAAAAGTGGATTCTTTATGATAACCGGAAAAGAAAAATGCAATGGCTGACCCCAGGTCAAATGCCACAACAGTGTCCTAAAGCAAAACTTACCAATAAAAAGGTAATGGTAACTGTTTGGTGGTCTCAGCATGGTGTTATTCACTATAGTTTTCTCCGATCTGGTCAAGCAATAACGGCAGATGTCTATTGTGCCGAACTCCGAACCATGTTGACAAAACTAGCAGTAAAACAGCCCCGACTCATGAATCGATCTTCACCATTATTGCTCCACGACAACGCGAGACCTCACACAGCACGAGAAACCATTTTGACCCTTCAGGAACTGCAGTTAGAAACCATTCGTCATCCTCCGTATTCACCAGACCTTGCTCCAACGGACTACCATTTTTTTCGTGATTTGGACAATTATCTACGTGACAAGAAGTTTTCTTCCCAGGAGGCAGTACAAAATGCTTTCACACAGTTTGTGCAGTCTAGATCGTCGGAGTTCTATCGCAAAGGCATTAATAACCTTCCCATTAGATGGCAGCAATGTATAGATAATAATGGCAACTATTTTGATTAAATAAATTTGTTAAAAATTTTAAAAATATACAATTTAGATTTTCAGTACAAATCGGCAATTTCATACTTTAACCCCTATTATTAATCACTGTTAAGAAAATTAACAATATTTATTTTTTATATTACTACACAAATGTAAAGGATTGTGTAAAGAATGTTATAACATTACAGTGGCTGATAATTATGGATGGCGTGAAGATTCATCTGGCAGTGAAGCTGATGCCCCACACTATCCGCTGGACTTAAGACTGGCAGAGGCTAGGTACGATATAATCATAAAAACCTCTTTATCACATCGTCTGTCCCTGAACAACATTAGCAGGAAAATACTTGAGATGGGTCCTCAACATTTTTAACTCCAATAATTGTTGGGTGGGTTTGCCATCTAATGTCTTAGGGTGGCGGGCGCAATAAAAGTCATCTCCCATCTTTGCGATTTAAAAGCTCTGAGCGGCTTTGGAACTGGCATGGCAAGGCGTGTCGTTTACAACCAGGTGTACGACCTGTCCGTCCCGTCACTGGTTGTGATTAAAAATAATAATTCAAGACAAGTTTAAATTACTTAACTTTTTCTTTCTCTAGACAAGTAAAAATTCAGGCGCGGGAGTAAAGGCGTATGTTCCGTTCCAGATTACAACTAGAAGAAAGACTAGCGCAGGAGGCGAGAGAGCGTACCGAGAAAAGGTACGACGACAAACGACTGTCGACGGAGGAGCTACGCAAACATAACGACATCCGCAAGAGCCCCAACGTCGAAGACCGCAGGAGGGATCAGGTGCACTTTGTGCTTGGTGGGGACAAGTAAGGATTATTTTTAATTTCATGCAAGCTTCACACTTCTGATATCGGATACGGCGCAGTTGTTTTCACTGTTGCTGTAAATTATCGCAAAATATATTGTACAGATGGTAGCACATTAAGCTACTCATTATCGGATCTTGTTCCGTTACTCGAACAAAACCTTTCGAAGTGCAGAAATGCCCAAAGTAACAAAAAGAAAAAGTTGCTAAAAAAACCAATGTCTTAACGACCAATTATACATATCATTCAAGTGCTAATTTGTCTAAACTTACTACAGGCCAACAGGTTAACTGAGTCGGTTCCTGAGGTAGCTGCGCGGTGCGAGAGGAGTAACAGTTTACGTAATAGTTTTTATTGTTATCGTTTCACGTAACAACAATTAATTGACTAATTGGGTAGGCAAGTTTTTCAATCAACTTGCTATTGAATATCATCAGAAAAATCTTGTTGAAATTATCCTGTATGCAGCGCGACGCAACGTAACTGTTACGTAAACTGCACCGCGCAACCACCTCAGGAACAGACTCAGTTAAGCGGTAGACCTGTAATAGCCCAAAGTATTGTTAAGACCATAGATATAGAAAAAAAAGGAGAGATATGTAATGACGCTATGTAAGATCGTGTACCGATGCCGCCACTTTTTAGCTTGTGTGCAATTCAAACTTAACGTCTTCTACCAACTACCTTCTAACATCTTAGGGTCGTATTCTAGAACTCTATTCAATGCTCAAGTCAGGATTGCACTGGCAACACAAGCACTGGAAATACGACCTTAATGTCAGGGGCTTGAGTATGATGTCGTGGTGAATGTTCACTGATCCCACGGCGCCGACTCAACCGGCGAGAGGGAAACCCGGGGGGGTTTTAGTGGGGTAGGCCTTCCAGTGTGGAGGGAGAGTCCCCACATAACCCCTGAGTCTCCCTGGGCTCAGGAAATCCTAACTTGAGCATTGAGTAGAGTTCTAGAATACGACCCTTAAAGATTTTGATTGGGTAGGGCTAAAAACTTGAAAACGACGTAACACAATTTTAAAATTTAACAAATTAAACTTACAGTCACTTGACTAAGAGTTATATTACAATATTTCAGTATTTTTTTATCCTGGTTCAGACATTCACCATCAGGTGGCGTTTTAGTAAAAATGCTACTAGTATACAATGGCTAAATAGTACACGTTAGATGGCGCTGAAACTCATTTATCGTTACACTAAGAACTCATTGAGCGGTTTTCACCCGCGTCTGCCGCGGGACCGCAGCATCTGTAGAGTGTAATAGTTAAGTGTGTAAAATTAGTAGCATATTTCACGGTGCGTTTTACGTCTGTAGTTGTGACGGTTGGTCGCGGTTGCCGCGGCGGGTTACTAGTTGAACCACACAGGACGCGATCATCTGCGCGCTTAGCGGCCGTCATCCTCCGCACACTTTGGCGGTCGGTTCACGCGCAATGTGGTGCAGTCGCACGCGGGGTGAATTCTCTATTAACCGCGCGACTTGCGATTAACTCCTTCTAACTTCGCGGTCCGTTCCGCAATCGCACCGGTTTCGTACCCGCAACCGCGGCGGCTACGTGCCCGCACAAACTTGCAGGGTCGTGAGTATTAAAATAAAACCACAGTCTAGCAGCACCGGCGGGCGCGGATGGTAACCGCTCCGTGAATTGTTAACCTTATTAACCTTAAACTGACGCTACTCAACGAGGGATGTGGTCCTACCTAATCGATAGTTAGAAACCATGTAGCTGTTTTTAATTTTAAATAAATATTCCATTTTTCATACTGTACCTACACTGGTACTGGTGTATTATTAAATTAATATATTAATATGAATTATTATTTTCTTAATGGCGGCCACTAGGTTTGGGCCAGTGTCAGATTTATTTTTTAAATGCATTTGCTATGTAAATTTAAACAAAGTCAGAAACAGTAATAAGAAAACCAATCTTTCGATTTTCCTGCAGCTTCAATCCAACCTTCTTTTATTTTGAACTCATTGGAAAAACATAAAAATTAAAAATACTCTACGTTTGATCTACGAGTATAATGGAATTTAAATATGTAAATTATCTAAAAGAATAATACACATACATTTTTCTTCAAGCAACAGCAACATACAAATTGACATGAAATTGAAAAGGTTGTCCGAAGTATGAGTTATGTTAAAGTTACTCGAAATAAAATGTTTAGTAATAATAATAAAATAAAAGAAATCAATTTAACGTGAGTGCTTTTCGCTTCGATATTTTAGGGACTTTAATTACAAATATCAAAGTAAGAAATTCAAACATTTCAGTAAAAATTTATTGTCGGTAAACATCAGTCATCGTAAATGAACATCACTATATTTGAGTCTAGAAATTTCTATGGAGACAAAAAGAAAACATTGAATAATAATAGAAATAGTAACTAAAAATCCAAATAGCCGGTGGAAAGTTATCTCACTGGTTTTAAAATTTTTGTTTTCACTCTAATTTTTACAAGGTGTATCGCTACAACTTGGCATTTTCATGTTTTACGAGAGATCTTGTATATACAACGAACGCCATGTCACTGTGACGATGTTTGTAGGCGAGCCTCGATATGATCAAAATGATCATATCGAGGCGACACGAACCACGCCCCCATACCAAATCTCCCCTTTTTTTCTATATCTATAGTTAAGACCCATTCAAGACCATATCTATGAAATTAAAAAGTAGGTATACTTTAATAACACAAATTAATAAATTAAGATACTGTTATAAAAATATGTAATTTGATGTGCTGGTTACTATACGTTATGCAGAGACCGGGAAATAATGGATCTGTTCTCGCCGAGGTATATGTAGTGCTTTTCTCAAACCAATGTGAGGCAATAATAAAATGCCAAAGAACGAAGGAGAATGTATAATAGAAAAAGTAACGTAAATTTCGTGTATTTTTGTTTGCTCGGAGCCTGACACAAGCTTTCCATAACAAATTTACTCCTTGTTTTAAGTTAGGCGCTTACTGTCCTCTATTGTATTTTCGTTCTTCTTACTAGAACTCATTTTCAAGAAGAAACTATGAATAATACAAAAAAATTGCAATAACAAAAAAAACTTCAATGTACTTTCGTTTATTTTACCGCCTTCTTTTAAAGTATGTGGTGCAGATATATTTCAGCACTAATTAAGCGCAAAATAAGTAATACCATAGACAATATTTGTTTTAATTCTCGCAATTACGGACCCGGATACTAGTGAGCAGTTGGTTGTAAGATAGTTTCTCTTTAACCTGTTTATATAGCTCTTTGTTAGTAAATACATTTAAAAGTTTAGAAAATTAGTTAAATTAAATTAGAAATGAATTTACATACTGAGAGTTAACGACTTTCAAAATGGCCGCCTTAAAGACATAACGGTTTCCTGCGAAAAAAAGTTAAAGTAGTTTAAAAAATGAGATACGCCACTTTTTGCACTATTCGTTTATTCATATTTTCAAACCAAAAATGTTGATTTTTGGTTTGAAAATACGTATGTTGCAGAACAGAACTGAATATTTTACCAATATTACACAGTTTTTATTAACTACCCCTACTACCCCATTATCCAACAGGAAAACGACAAATCAAATCCCATACTCAATACTGATTGGAATAAACATTTGTATATTAAAACCACAGTTAAATTTACTTATAGTAATAAGGATAATATATAATTAACGTGATGTATAATTAACGAACACTATTAATCAGACTGTATAAATAAGTTCCAAAACGGTAATACACATTGCTATTCAAGTCGTACACTCATGACTTGTTCAAATCAACAACTGTACTCATTATCTATCTTCTATATTATTATGATTATTACAAATACATTGTATGATTAAAACTGTAAAACTCTTACACTAGAAAGAAAATTAAACTATTGAAGAAGAATAACTATTTAAAATCTTGTATTATAGCCAATTAGACGCATGAGACTTCCGTTCTCCGTCGAATATCCGTCAGAAACAATTACTGTCAAACTGTCAAAAGTGTGGATGACGTTGCATATTTATTTTTATTTTATTTATTTATTTGGTTCTCCAACAATGAGTACAATATACATAACATAAATACAATTGCCCCATTACTAGATGAGATCACCGCATGCACAATAATCTGTTTCTTTTTTACATAATGTTAACATTCTATAAAAAAAAAAAACTTATTAGGAGAGAAAAGATAATCTATAACTATTAGTGCAATACAAGTCTTTTAAGCAAGTTCACAGACATAGTTGCCAAATCCGCTGAATTGTAATATTAAGTGTATAACATCCGAGAGAGGGGACAGTGCAATCTGAAATTAGTACGATGTTTTGGAATGCAAAACAACTTCCTATTATGATTTCCTATTTTCCTATTTTGACTGCCTCCGTGGCCGAACAGGTACCATGCCGGACTGCCACGCATAGGTCCCAGGTTCGATTCCTGGGCCGGGAGAAATATTTGTATGGCCTACATTTATTTCTCTCGTGAGTTTGGGTGTAATTTGTGGTTGTCTATGTGTGTGTCCATAGCACCCGCGACACAGGGTTTCCCTAGTGCGGGGCTATGTTGAGTGTGTGCGTTATTAAAAAAAAAATGTCTGTGGTGGTACTCTGTGGTCACTTTTACAAGTAAAAGTGTTGGCCGCTTGCGAGCAGCTAGTGATTGCAGTCGATAAATATTCTATCGACTATCCATTGAACATTGGTCACGCTTATGGAATAAATAGCCGAACTTGATCCTCAACCCATTATTCATCCAATTACAGAGCTTAAGTTCATTAGAATTGACAATTTTTGTAAGTTCATACATACACACACTTTACTTCCAAATATGTTTATGAAAAATACCAAAAGGAGACATATTTTAATTTTTTGAAATTCAATATATATAATCAAATCCGGCTATTCTTATTAAAACGTATATGAATAAAAATGTATCCCGATACTTGTAGGATAACTGTCAAAATATGCATAAAAAAGGCAATAACGTAATTAGTAATCACTAGATCGTTGTAACATCCGCAATTCAGTCATTTTTGGCTACATTTTATCTTCTTTCGATAAAACTATTGACAACAGCTACATAACTATTTAAAATTTTATGAAAACTGACACTGGTTTAATGGCTCGTCAATTGGCCCCGTGTAAATGGGCTCATGATAAAAATGACCGGCATTTTAAAATGCATACTATATTTCGCGTGTTTCAGTGTAAACTGGACGGGCGAGGAGTTAACCCGCACCGCCCACTCGCAATCGAACCCCCAGCTGCGCGCGTCGATGCGCAGCGTGAGCGGCGCGCCCCTCCCTCCCCCGCGCCGCCCGCTGTCGTCCGGCGCCATAGTGCGCTCGCGTTCGACGGACATCGTGCCGGGGCACCCCGACGACCCGCGCCCGCCGCCTAGGAACCCTTTTGTCAAACAGAAGACTGTGCATGAAGGTGAGCCTTCGTATAAATAGTATGTATTTTTTTTACAATACCCATATTCTCCTGACTCCATCTTGTCTGCTCTGCAGGTCTAAAAAGGCCGTGTTGGCAGAATCATAATATGATTGATTGACATTTCATATTACGAATTTACAAACAAAACAAAACACGCAATTCATCTATTTGACAGTGTTTTGTAGAGACCTCCATAGAACACTGTCAAATAGATGAATTGCGTTATATGAATTTTAAGAGATTCATAATATGAATTGTCAATTAATCATGTTATGATTCTGCCAATACGGCCTTTTAGACCTGCAGCTCTGCTGAGTAGCACTGCAACTTTTATGGGCAAGCGTGTCGCTTACCACGACTTGTTCGTCCTGCCACTTGGTATCATAAAATAATAATAAACAAATATTTGTAAATTTAGTAATGACACAAACGACGCTGTAAAATTGGAAAACAGAAGAGCGATTTTTTAAGAAAAAAATCATGAAAATTAGAAAATTTCAGCTTTTCCATATTTTCCAAGTGCCCGTTACAGGTTTTACCTTTCCAGTGTCGAAATGATAAAAAAATTGAAATGTTAGTAACCTTACACAGAATCGTCAATGAACACTAATCTACGAAATACTGGTTTCATATTGTGGATTAGTCGACGTGAGACCTTTAAAAAAAAACGGTAAAACGGCATACTCTTAAAAAAGTCCTATTCGCCAAATGCCCTATTCTTAAAACTGTCCGTTTTAAATTCTTTCATTTCGAACTTTAAGAATTTAAAACGAATAATTAATTTTATTGAATGCAAGAATGTTTCACCAACTTGATATTCAATTATTATTATGCATTGACTTACAATTATATGGACGTCGGGTCCGCGCTAAAAAGTGTCCGCACTTGTAAGGCGCTAAAATCGTATACAGAGCGCGACACTCCGCTTTAGTCTTCATTTGTTCTACGGACAGCGCGATACTGCGATGACATAACAATTTAAATTTCGAATAGGTTGACTTGGGACATTTTTTTCGTGGTTTTTGTATTAGACCCGTCGTCCATTTATTTGTAAGTCAATGTTATTATGTGAAATTACTCCACAAGTTTGTTATAATTATTAATACAAGGATCGAACATTTAGAAAAAAATCCTTCGATTCGTCTGGAATCGAACCAACGTTTTCAAACATACCAGAAAAGTCGTTAAAACACCATAATAAAGATCTGCAACAACCACATAGAAAAATTCGTAAGGTCCGCCGGTTCACGGACCGCTGGTTCCGTGACAGGGTTTGCTAAAAGACGTTGGTTCGATACTCCCTGATCGAAGGATTTTTTCTAAGTGTTCGATGTTTGTATTAATTTAGTAGCAGTAGAGCTCCTTGTGAAAGACTACGTCCAGGGCAGTACTGCCACCTTACCTATTTCTGCCGCCAAACAGTAATGTCAGCATTACTGCGTTCCGGTTATGAAGGGTAAGGGTGCTGGTGAAATTACAGGCACATGGGACTTTTCAACTTATGTCTCAGGGTAATAGACGTAGAGGCAGTACACCTCAGATCTTTGCGGTCTAAAGCTCTGAGTGGCACTGCAACTCTCATGGCCAGGCGTGTCGTTTACCATCAGGCGCACGACTTGGTAATCCCATCCCTTAGTATCATTAAAAAATTAAAAAAAATAAAACTAATAAGTACCAAATTTTTAAAAGTAACATTGTTCTTCAGGTGACGGCACTCCGTCCAGCAATACGCCTCCCGAAGAAGAGTCAACCGATTCTTCTCTAGTAGAAGACGAAGGCCTGCCTAAACCGCGCAAGCGACGGATCAATCTGCCCTTCGGCAAGAAGGCCAAGACGCCGGCGTGACCACCGCTCCGGCACACGCCCGCGTGACTACGGCTCGGGGTCGCATCACACCCGTACTGTCTTAACACAGGGCACTTTCGCAGAATTTTTGTTTGGCAAAAAACTCTTATGGCCTTTTTAATCAGACTGTGAGACTTCCACAGTGAAATATTCGGTAAAAGCACAAGGCCGCGGTAAAAACCGAAAGTGAATCGAAATTGATTTAAGTTTCACGCCAAGTGCCATTTACGAGAAAAGATTTTTAATTACAACTGCATACATTTTAGAGAGTGACCAATTCTGCCACTGGTATATTCTGGTCTTCCTACTCATCGGTACGAAAGAAAAACTGTCCCGATCTTCCACAGTTCGACCAATACGTTGATTGTTCTTGTCCCGATTTGCCACACGTTTTAACCCATCACTGGACTCTAAAAAATATAATTTAATTTCTTAGGTTTTCGCTGTTCTTACATATAGGAAATACTATTATTTCGGATCTAAATCAGTCAGCCATGACCATGGAACCAGGGCCTGAAACGTTGATTTGTTTGAAAAAACAAATATACTTACTGAGAAATGGCTACCGGTACTATCTCTATTTTGACAACTTTACAGGATGAAGAAAATAATTGTTTGCGTCATTTATATAGCATCTGGTTTATTAAATAAAAATACGTAATATACATGTGTAATAAAAATATTTTAAAACTACTTATTTTTATTTAGTAAACTAGATGCTGTAAAGTTGTCAAAATTGAGATAGCGCGGAATGCCAGTTCACAGTCGATGCGCGATTTAGATCTGATGCAATTATATGCAAAAAATATATTTTTTTTTAATGGTGGATGAAAAAAGCTGCTCGTTAAGACTCTACGTGCGCTTGACGAGTTATTGTACGGAAAATAAAAGGCTTAAATTTCGACAACTTGTTTATTGGCGTCTATTATTACATAAAATGTAGTTAGGTTGTAAAAATGTGCCTTTTGGATAAAAAAATTCAATACTGGTTTTTTGCCAAACAAAAATCACGAGTACTCTAAAATTGCTATAGGAAAAAAACGGTAGGGAAGTTTTAAGAGTCCATGATTATACAGGAATGCTTGTGTTAGAAAGGTATTATAGGCATTGTAGAATTGTAGGTTGAAAGCATTATAGGATTAGGCTGTGCCAAAGAGTCATGTTCTCTGTTCTTCATTATTAACTCTGAAGTCAGTATTTTTTACCAAGGAGATTACTGGTAATCGATGGCCACTGAGACAGTAATTACAGACGTAATAAATAAATATAAAGATTAAAATAAATACTAGACAATATCACATACGTTGCTCTGATCCCAAAGTAAATGAAACACTGGTGTTATGGAAATTGAAAACGGTTTTGAAGGGTAAGGGTGCTGGTGAAATTACAGACACATGGGACTTGTCAACGTATGTCTCAGGGTGACGGGCGCGGTGGCATTGCCCGTGAGATCTTTGGGATTGCGCCTGATATTGACCGGCGTGTCGCTTACCACCAGGCACACAACTTGTTCGTCCCGTCACTTGCCATCATAGTACCACAAACAACAAAACCCTAGACAATATGGAAAGTTAGTCTACATTCAACCGGCCGGGGGATCGAACACGAGACCTCAGAGATGGCGACCATGAAAACGTGTATGCAAGCCACTCGACTACGGAAGTCCTCAATGGTAGAACGCACCGCACCGCGCCTTATCATATTTTGTGTGAGATTCTGCGCAAGCGCAGGGAGTGTATCACTTACCCAGTTATAGTATTGCATTATGTAGGGTCCAACTTTTACTTACTATAAGTCTAATGGTGGCACTTCTCGCGAGTATTTATTGTTTTTGGAAAAATATTTGACGTACAGACAAACATGCAGACATTGACAAACATGACCGTCTATACATGGAACCAAATAAGGAGTTAAAATAATGAATTTGACCAAAGTTTGCACGGACGTTTGGACGGTTTGCATTTTTTGCATATTTGGCTCTTTTTATGTGCGTCAAGAGACCGACCAGCGCGCGGTAACGTATTTTTGGTGTCGGCTATCAAATGGCAAACATGCAAATACTTGTCACACATACTATCTACACATGGTTGCCAAATATATCAAATACGCAAATACGAATGGCCATGTGAAGTGTCACCATAACAGATGATCGTAAAACGAGTGTAATTGAAGCTATCAGCACAAAAGTTGTGTAACCCACTTTATTTTTTTTTTTGGCACTATTAATGTACTGAAATATGATTAATTATGATTATTTTTTGTATACATGATGGCATCCAAAAACACACATCAATGTCTCGGGATCAAGGATTTTTTTAAATGTTTTATCACCCATTTGAATACGAATTAAGTAAAAATGTCTATATAAACTTGTTAAATGATAATTATTTATTAATTTTCTCAATTACCAACCAAACAACAAACAACAAAAAAATACCGACAAAAAAAACCATCGGTGTTAAAAAAAATTACAAAAACCTGTTTTTCAGTAATTGGCAAAGCGTGCTTGATCCCTAGAAGATGATACTTTAATACGTTACACCACTATTGCGCTGATAGCCTCAATTATGCATTCGGACCTCTTTCTCTTTTAAATAATGATTATGGAGTAAATAATCAGTTAAGCCCATTATATACTAAATAGGAGCAGAGGACAATAGCATTTTGAAAGTTTTTGGCACCAGCTACAACAGCGCCAATGGGACAGCCATCCCCAATGCTTCCTGAGTTCTGGTCGTATTTGCACTCATATTTATCCACATAAAAGTATTATATATTGAGATTACAGTTCTACCAGAATCTCCTGACAAATAAGGAAATTAATAACGGATTTAGCAACATTTGACATGATCATTATTAACACGTTCTTCATATTTTAATTTTTTATTGAATTGATATTCAATTATTTTTTGTGAAATTACTCCACTAGTTTGTTATAATTATTAATACAAAGATCGAACGCTCAGAAAAAATTCCTTCGATCCGGCCGTTCTTTATAGTTTAGATCTATACCTCCCAAGTTAAAAATAAGTAAGCCACAAACTAGCATTTTTTTATAATATAAGTATAACCTAATATTATAGGCTCCATCAAAAGTAAATAAAACATTAAATGTTTTCGTTACTATAAAACATGAATCCTATATATACATAAAAAGGATATGTTTAATTTAAAAAGTAAAAAATGCTATTTTTGTGGCTTACAATGACAACTTACGTGGGATATATTGTGCACGTGACAGATTTTACTTTATGTAAGTAATTACATGATTGCAATATTTATTCTTATTGAATAGCATATAGTTTTACTATCATGATGTAAATGTATTTTATTCTCACTCAGTGATCAAAATGTAGAGAATATACCTCGTTACAAGGATAAAAACATACTTACATCCATTGTAAATGGAAATGAGGAAGAATGACATGGAAAAAGAATAAGAAATATTCTGAACTGCAAAAAAAAATCCAGTAACAAGAGGTCAGTCTTAGTTACCTGTCGAATTAAGTCGATTATCGACAAGGAATCGCTAGCCGGTTAGAAAAAGCTTGTATGTCCGTGTTATAACAATGAAAAAGACGTTGTGTGTCAGCGGTCTGAGAAGAGAAACGTCTTTTTTGCTCTTACTGCATGAACAGCAGCTACAGCTTTTTTGACCGTCTCAAGACAATTGTTGACCCCTGTAGTAATACTAAATTGAAATTGCAAAGTAAAATTACTTTTAATTTATTTCGTGTCACGAGATTCTAGTAGACCTAGTGTGGGGTCATGGAAAGATGTGCTAAAAATATTTTTCTGTATATTTTTTTCTGACCACCATTTAAAATTTTTAAGCACTATAACCCAACTTAAGTAGACCTTATACTGCTGCCGTTAAAAACTCAAAACCGAGAAAATAATGTTTAAAGAAATTATTTGAAAAAATTTTTACTTTTCACTTACGGTAATTTTATATCTTATCCACCTTTCAATTGACGGCCGTAGTAATACAACCCTATTATTGTAAGTTCTCTAACAAAATTTTTATTTATATTTTCTTTTTTGGCAGAGTGTACCATACTGATCTCAATATTGACAATCTAGCACAGTGTAAGGTGTTTTTCCTTTCATGCATAGCTTACTCTGTGTGCGTAATATCTTATTAATTGGCGTTTACGCTGAAAAACTCGTGTTTTCATACTATAATAAATGCCAATGGAAACCAGTATATGCGTGCGGGGAAGAGAAGCCTGGAGGAAATGAAACACCTTACAATCTTTAAAATTTGTGTCGCAGAAATTGAATCTCATAGAAACTACATAGAGTTAATAGTGTTTATTTATAACCCATATTATGTTTGCATTGTTTGTTTATTATTAAAAAGAAATCTAATATTTACTCGCCAAAACTTTTTTTACAGATGCAAAAAATCATATTTATTACATTTTATAAAATTTTAGCACACTTTTTATTTATTGACTTTTATTTATAAAATATTAATAATAGCAATAATTTAAAAACCATGACTGCTTTACTTTTTAATACTTCACTAAGACCCTGTAGCAATTTTGTACATAAATTTTAAGTAATTGTCAATTTTATAATGTTAGTAAAGCTAACCATTCAATGTCAAGTATGTTGACGGACATTTTAGATTAGCCTTAAAAACGTGACTAGTTTAAAAATGCTATTTATAAAAAATTAAATAAAAACGAAAAAATATTTTTAATCGTTTGATCAACACTAATGTATCTGGTCAGTCAACACATCCGATGATGAATGGGCGCCTTTAGAGTTACCAGAACGGGACAAAAATAATGACCTATAAAATAACATCAGTTGAACTGACGTATAATTTGTATTTATGCTACGTGATTATCCAGTGATGCGTTAGTAAGCAGCACAGATTTGGTACTGCATTTTGTAAGGTATTATAAAAGATGTCTTAAGTTGGTTATAAAGCGTGAAACACACTGACAGCGCGTGGTGTGGTTATCGTCCATATAAATACACGTAATTACACTCGCCGTGCTGCCGACCCGACACGCACCCGCTCTCTGTGTGTATCATGCTTAATACATTGTTGTAATTAGTGAAACAAATTGCCATGGCGAAGGTTTTAGATCCAGTCACGGTAATTCGCAGAAAATGCCATAAAGATTCTTGCAGAATCACTGGCTTTGTTTGGTGTGACGTTTGTTTTTCCCCCCCAACCAGATAAATCTTTTTTACTACAATTTACCTTTTTGTGACATCTGAAATTCGTACAAAAGCGATGAGAATGAAGTATCGAATGTTATACAGTTGCAAATGTGTCGATATCATTGTAACGTAGCAATTGTTTATATTTGCTAGAATAATTACTAATCGCTATGTAAAATTGATTAACATCATCATATCGCATCATTCCCTCGTGTGCTTAGTTATGATAGCGATATTGCCTTTAACTAGTAGATCCTGAATTTAAAGGTACTTTAATTAAGTTGGCCATTCATTATCCTGCACGCCGCAGAGCGACGTAGTCAACATTCTTTCGCCTAATTGTCTTTGCAGAATTCTGAATGACCAATTTACTCCGTAGAATGTCAATGTATTTTAAAGTTAAGATGAAGAATAGAAAGGGCCATGCGATTTGTAAGCCGTTTGCTTACTGGTCGTCATGTTGGGTTGGCCGATGTTGCTGCGATTGTTTTGTAAAAAAAAGCCCAAGAAACACCTATTATTTAATATTTAAAGTAATATATAATTAATTATACATGATAATGAAAATATTCTCCTTAATTTATTGTGTACCTAAACCTTCTATGGAGTAAATAAAACTACTCATGTACACCTAATTTTTAAGTAAAGCTATTTGGTGCTAAATGAATTTAAAGTCTGACGGTCATACATGGCTCAAATTTTTGTATTATAAATTCGCTGTTTTTTATAAATGTTGTATGACACGATGACAATATTGTCTGCCCCACATATGAAAGATGATTTTAATTTTTTTGACATTTTAATAGTTATTTTGTTGTTACAATAAACTTTTTCGTTTAATACGTTTAGTACGGAATTTCCGTTGCTTGATATACATTTATATACACTGTTTATGTTTAGTGGTGTACCTTGCAACAGGAATCATAACGTCTTTAGTAAAAATCAATGTATGCGATAAAACTTAAAAGTTCTTCGTTTGAATGCTTTAATATTTATTACTACTTAAAAAATATCAAATCACTGGATGTTTTTCTCATTGATTTGTAACTACTAATAATTAGTAACGGAAATTTTGTACCGGCCTAATGTTTGGGAAATGCTAAGTTTGTCTCAAAAAGTAACCATTCACGCAATATTAAGTTTGTATTATTGTACTTAAACGAATTTCATAGAGTATGTGCAGTAATTTATTATATAAATATAATAAATTTATTTTTTAGAAGAGTACAAATGTGACTACAGTTTTAGTTGGCGGAACTCTTTTTCTAGTACGAGTTTAGATGATAATATTTCAATGTTACTAATTTGTTTGTGATGTATCGCATCGACATTGATAATGTGTTCCCATTAGAGTTGGACACTAGTTAAAAAAAAATTTCTTATTTTGCCAGTCTTAAAAATATCAAGGCATTTTAGAAATAACTTTTTCAACTTTTGTTTTAGAAAAAGGTCGAAGTCACTAAATTGAACTCTAATGGTACGTCACACTATATCGCTTATATAGTCATGATCTTTCACGAATGTATACCTATTTTATAGAACTCCAGATCTGAAGTGTTGTACTGTAAAAAGACAAATCGTGATAAAATACATTGTTACATCATTGAAGGTTAATAAAGTAAATCTATAAAAGCAGTTTTTTTTCTACATACCTTTTGTTTCGGGTGAATAAACAGCAGGCAGAACTAGTAAAATCCTCTAAATATTAAAATTTAATAATTAATTCCACTGTAGGTGCAATTACAAAGCAAAAAAATTATACGATTGTATTTTCTTATTGTTTTAATTTCCTACTAATGATACAGATTTGTAGTGGTTCGAGGTTGAGTTTGCATTCTTGTAACCGTCATTGACTTTAGTAGTAAAGGGTTAATTATTATTAAAGTTTGATTCAATTTTAAACTGTTGGCTTTTCAAGGGGACAGTAAAAATATACAGATTTCCCGCGAAAAAATGTCCAAAAATTAAATGATTGAAAGAATATTAAACTAAGACCTGGCAGCACGATTAATTAAACCTTAGCCTGTCCCGAAGGACAAACTACTACTGCTAAACTGTAAATAACTTTCAGCTGTTTCTGCTTTATAATAAAAATGTTTATTTTTTTTCCAATTTAGGTTGAGTAAAACTACTAGTCTATGCTTACGATTGAGTAGTAGAATTAAGTAGAACCCAGATGAGCACAATTTCTATACCTCGTTTGATCCTGCCATCCTGACGGACACGTTTAATCAGTGTAAGTATTTCAAGTGTGATTTGCTTACCTTCGAAATAAAGATAATTCTATTTTATTTAAATATTATTTTATACAGGCTGTATATTTGAAAGTGGGACATGCTTATAGATTGCGTTATATTCCTGATTCTGAACCCAGAGAAATAAACTAATGAACTCAAACTTTACAAAAAATATTTTTTTAATTTTTTTTATCGACTACTTGAGAACAACATTAGTTATCGAAATCTATGCACATCACTATTATTGCTCCGACGCAGCGGCGGCTTTGTTTTTCGTCACCGTACCGCCAGGCGACGAAAAACAAAGCACAGGTGGGCTGTGGGGGCGCGGGCGCATATGCGAACAGACAGTGCACGCGCGACCTTGATCTAACGAAGACACGTAAATTATTTGTACTTCCGCTCGCCCGATCGCCGCGAAATGGATATTTATTCTAACGTCGAATTGACAGAGATGGTGTGACTTTACGCAATAAGTGGTGATAGTGTGAGGCAAGCCATTGAAATGTTCCCAAATCGGAGTTTACGCGGAGGAGGTGAACAGTGTCGCAGTGTTACGTGAGAGGATTATCTCAGCATTTTATACTGCGAGACAAAATATGTTTGTGTTGTACAATTTAAAACAAAATTTACTATGCCGTACTAGACTGTGCATTGTAGAAAACGGTGGACATTTTGAACACTTGTTCCGTACCACGTAAGTGCAAATAAACTGTAAATAACTAAAAAATCAATAAAAAAATAATAATTTGATTACATATTTTTAACTACGTCAAAACCCTCAATTCTTATTAAATGATAAATAGTTACTAAATCATAAACTTATCTTTTTTAGTACGTAAAACATTTCGATGATAGTTCAAGTAAAAAATAATTAACATAAGCTAAAACGTAAATGTGAAATCTTTATTGATGCTATCTCACTTGGCAACCGCATGGTAGTATTCCCATTGCACTCGAAATCAAGCGTAAAGGGAAACGGTTTATTCCTATGTACACTTCAAAACACATTTGTTGATTTATTTTTTGTTCTATCCCATATCTTAATTTTATTATAGTCTATGTTGAGTTGTAACATGTGTGAATATGTCTCACTTTTAAATAAATATACAGCCTGTATATTCGAAGGGCTTTTTTGTTCTGCATTTATAACGCTTAGAAAAATGCTTTTCGTACCGTGAAAATTGGTCGTTTTTGTAGTAGTCGAATTCTATTTCAATGAAGTAATGTCAGGTATATCCACCACAAACAACACAACTTTATACGTAAGTAATACTAAGAAATTTGGAGAGAATAAAAATCATTTTTCATTAATTACATTTATTTTATAAGTGTACAAATTTCCTACAGCTGGTGTATGCGAGCAATTTCGGTAAAAATAACACAGTTCACCTGTTCATAATTAGGTCCAACGTAGATAGCGGGCTTACGAAAAGTTCATAACAAATTTTGCTAGTATTAGTATTTGTTGGTAGCGCAAATTCCTTTATGCCGTGCCAGTTTGTGGCTCTGTTTTGCACGGAAATTAAAAATTCTCTTTTCAAAATTTTACGTTATTTTTTATTGAGCATTGGCTAAATAGCCATCAGTTTAAATAATAATCTTAAAACTAAAAATTCGTGTGAACAGAATTACAAAATCGCGCCACTTTTTATGAAAATTTTACGCAAATTTACAATATCGCGTTTTTAGAACATTTTAGAAGCTGACAAGTGTCATTAGAATAAATTACTTCTACTTCCGTTCTTGTTAATTTTCAGACATGCGAGTCCGCAATGTACGTTGGACCCAAATCCTTTCGAATGCAAACAACTTTTACAAAATAAAAACAAATCCGTCTTAAAGACGCAAAACGACACCCAACTTAGGGTAGATGTAACTCACATCACTTAAATAAGTCTCACATTTAGTTCTATAACAGCTATGAATGTGAATTTTGAATCGATTTGCTAATGAAACTTCAAAGACGTGTATGTATGATGTTTCTAGAATTTAAAAAATCAAATATTTGTTCTACACAGAGTTAATTGTAAAATACTAACGTCGCAAAACTACACTGTGGCTCTAGTGCAAAGGGGTACAAGTAAAGAAAGCCAACTTTACAAGGAGACTCGAAAAACAGTTACAGCTTAATATATTAAGCGTCAAGTGTTTTTCGCGTTTCCTTGTAAAGTTGGCCTATTTAAGTTTTACCACTTTTCACTAGAGCCACATTCCTAACATCATAAACAACAACTTTAGTTCCATGACTTAATAATTTATCACACTTTACTTTCATACAAAACAGCCAGGCTCAAATAGGATTGGGCGGGCCATGTTAGCCGCATACCCGAAAAGTGGACGAACGTCGTCACTAGTTGGGTGCCCGAGGATGGAAAGAGACAACGTGGACGGCCGAGAAGGCATTGGCGGGACGATCTTGATGGGTTTGAGAGGACTGGTGTGAGATCGCCAAAGACGGAGTAATGGAGGAGTTTAGGGGAGACCTTTGCCCAGCAGTGGGACAAAAATAAAAATATATTTAAATATAAAGCTCCAAAGGATGATAACGCTGTGGTAACGAAAGAAAGCGCTAATATCCAATCCGATACGCCTTGTCGTCGAGTTGCGGACACCAGCCCGTTACACCAAGTACCAAGTACCCAATCCGATGCAAAACGCAGGAGAGGAGGTGTAGATCTACAGTGTCAGATAGTACAACAAAAACGGATAAGGTTCATTTTTTATAAATTATTTATGTTTTGTAAAAGTCATAGAAAGTTATTGTTTATGATGTTAGTAATATAGTCCCGCGATCATCACTTCTGACATCCATAATTCTTTTTGTGATTACATTTCCGGGATTAGAATTTGTAAGTTCCCTAAGAACGTGTTACTTTATGAAACATTGAAGTTAATTGACCTTTGTGCAATCGAGTGTTAGCCACTCGGGTGTGTTCTTAACAACGAACGATTCAACAATCACACTCTGAGCACCACTGGTCATATAACAAACAACACATTAAATGGACAATCATTATTACAAATAGCTGATAAGTTAAGGCGGATATCTATGCTCTACGAAACTTAAAAAAGGAATGTAGGGAATATCGGTTTTATAAATTTTCAAGCGGCCGTAAAAACTCGGGTATTTCTTGATAAATATATCCTAAAAATATTATTTTATAGAGCCATAGGTTTTCAACACCTTAATACTATAGCGCAGTCTCGCTTTAGGGTCCACGCGCACTAGATTATCACGATGTGCTTTATGACAACAACAATTACAACTTATCGCGTATTTGTATGATCATGAATATCTAGTACACAAGGTTTCCTTAACTTCGCGTATTGTAAAAGGTCTATTTTATGAGAGCACCAAATATATGACCAAATATGTGCAAAATGTTATATGCGTTTTTCGGTGCCAATCAGACCTTGAGTTTTAAGCCTTATATTCAGTAGAGTATGTGCTATTGTTGCTTGCATTCCGCTGGGTTTTCCGCTGCTGAACTCTTGTTTGGTTTCTTCCCTCGTCTCCTTGGTGGCGGTTCCTCGTCTTCACTTTCTTCTGTCGAGCACTCTTCCTCCTCCTCCTCCTGTAAAATTAAGTATACTATTTCAATACACGGATTTCATCAATGTTACTCTAACATATAAAATGTTTATGCAGTTATAATGTTAAGTTAAATTACATTAAAAATGTATATTGCTGCATTGGATACAGAAAAATATAACCTACATCCTCCCCATTTCTTGTAAATCTGTCGACAATATTAATTGATAGAGTTACAAGAATTGGAGAGGATGTAGGTTACATTTTTCTGTATCCAATGGAGCAATAAACATTTTTGACGTAACTTCACTTATGCCATTCTTTAGCTCTGCCTGTGCGATATCTGTAGTAATTCTAAAAAAAATACGAACATTCTTATATAAGACACTTATTCTACGCGGCGCAAAAAAATGGAACTAGTCATGGAAAAATAAATATTGAAATAAAAGATAGTAGAATGCATCTTCGAATTATACCATCATGGTAAATCCATACAAATGCAGCGGCCCGGTTTATGTGTGCGCATACGTCGTATCCATACAAACGTAGCGGCCCGGTACGTAATTTTGAGACGCATTCTCGTTGCATATAGCCGCTTTCATAATTACACGGTACACGGCGCCCGTGCTCACATCGCACATGAAACCGAATGCTGTCGCAACTCAAAATTGGTAGAATTAACAAAACACGAGACACGAAAGTTTTAAAAAAATACTGAATGAAACCAATAAATTTATATTCCCATAAAAATAATCCCATTATTCGCAATAAAATCCATTCATTTTTCTAATTGGACGTAGTTGAGCAAAAGGGATCCAATCCACAAAATCATCAAATAATGAGTTATATGTACCAAACGGTTCCTAAAGTCTAACCTGTTAAATCAGCAAAAAACCCAACATAATATAAACATAAATAAATATTTCCTGAGTTACATGACATTATAAGTTTTGAAAATAAAACAAGAGTGAGAAACACTTTCAAAGTTCAAACTGCCATATATCGAAAGTGCGTTGGATCCTTTTTGTTTAACTACGTCCAATTTTCAAATCGTGTTTCCTCAATTCCACCATTGTTTAGTTACAACAGTATTTGGTCTCAGTGTGACATATAAGCCGTGGTGCTGCGTATGAATGAAGTTACCATACTTGCTTTATTATACGAAGGTTATAAACATTTTTATCCTGTACTATTTTCATACGACATCGAATAACATAAAAATGACTGACAATGTATTTACCTTACAACAAATAAATATGAATTCTGCAACCATCAGCATTCCGTTGTCAAAACTTGCAACTAATCGCATGCAAAATAAAGGATTTGAAATAAAAAATAAAACACGATTTAAAAAGCATACAAATTTTAATGTCATCGTAAGGACATGCCAATAAGTTAGCCGTAACCAAGTATCTATAAAGTTACAACAGCTGCCATACATTACGAAAATATTATGCTACATGGAACTTCAAAAGAAGGGTACATAAATAAAAAATATATATATCTATTGACAGCTTATTGGTCGTCTAGAAATAACAGGTTCACTAGAAAACACAAACAGACTCGAAACAGTTTTCCCTGTCGTATTAAAGTTATTCTAGTGAGATACACTACGATAACATGAGAAAGTCTTTGTGCCATCAAGAGAATATATTATTCCTAGTTCTTTTTCTATACGGGGGGCTCACATTAATCTGTTTTATAGCGTTTACCCCTTGTTGACACAGGCAGAGGTCTTTTTAGAATAAAAATGACAACTGTCTGGTTAAGCGTACAAAATTGGCACCAATGTCCATATTAAAAATACATCTCCAAGAGATAGAATCACAGTCAGACGGTATTGTGATGAAATGCATCTTGGCACAAAAAAGAGATTAAAATCGATATTGACCGACCGGTTTTGAACCAACGGTTTAGAAAACAATCAATTGCCATGGAATGGAACAGCACATACGAATTTAAGAAATTTAAAATATCGATAAAATCTTAACGAGAATTATAATATCACATGAAATTTCTTAGTTCACAAACGAGTAAAACTTGTAAATAAAAATACACGCTATAATTACTGTATAATATTAATAAATAAAAACGAGAAATTGTATAACTAGAAATGCAATATAGGTATCTTAAGACCTTTTAACATGTAACATGCATTACTTTTAATTTTAATTAAAATTTAAAAGGCACCTTACTTCTCGTCGACCGTTGGTTTCGATTCTGTTACCCACATTTCTGGGAGCCTACTCCCATTCTCCGTCCGACATATCCGTCCGGAACAATTATTGTCAAGTAAGCAATACTCGACCAAATTAAGACGTATGATACGAATAATTCTTCATACTTGACATTGTTTTTTAATTGTGGTCGAGTATTACTTATTTGACAGTAATTGTTTCGGAAAGATGTCGGACGCAGAACTGGAATAGACCCTCTGAAGCGAGATTCGTTGTATTTCAGAAATTGACGTGAATCACTCCTCATTCTTTCTTTTCCCTAAAATTTTGCTAATATAGAGCTGTTCTATTTTGCAGTCAGTTGGGGGTTGCTGTACTGCCGAGAGTATATATAATATATAAGATAATGCCATCAGATCTTTGAACATAAATTATTTCTCCCATTTGTCGCGAGTTTACCCGCAAATTAAATTGTAAAGCCTCTTTTGGAATACGCAATTACCCTAGTGTGTGTAAAAGAATCGAAACGTTAAATAAAAAAATAAAACAAGCCCACCGGGAGCGTTAAGAAAAAAAAAATTTAGCATCTAAAACAAATTTATCTAGTCAAATGATAAACCTCGCATAGAATACTAATGGTCAACACAAATTCAAAGAGCAATGATGCACATTATCTATGTTTATGAGACAAATTAGTACTGAGTCCACCGAATCGGAACTTAGTCGTTTGCCCCTATTCGTTTGTAGCTTACATAAGTAGAGTTAAATGCAATGTAAGCACTAAAAATGTGCGTCGCGGCTCCTTTGAATGCGAAATGACCCTAAAACAACGAGAAGTCTAAGCCTAGCGTACAAATACTACGAATTTGAAAAAAAAAACTAATGTGAAACGTATCGTATAAGTGTTTTAGATGTAGAATCGAACGAGTTTCAAAATATTTTTGGTCGAATATGGATACGTTTATAGAAAAGCGTACATTTAAGCGTCGGAGTGGTGGTTGGGGCTAAAAATATAAATATTTTAATGAACACAAACAAAGAAAGATTTACTCTCTCGTCTATTTCTTACTCATGGATCCGTCCCTGTGAGTGTACAAACTGTATCTGCCCAATAATATGTGTTCCAGTCTCTTTCCCGTCAAGTTGACTTCAAATATAGTCTTTGACATCCAAAACAACACAGTTAAACATTTAATGATAAAGACAACCTTATATCAATGAATGTAGAGTTATAAATTCGTCTCCAAACAATTAAAAGTTCATCATTTTTTGTGATAACATGTATCTTTGTGCTTGTTTACGATATTTTTGTTAGTTAGACGACTATTTCACCTTCTGAACGTAATTCATTGTAATTCCTATAGGTGCGAATTATGTTACCACATTGAATTAGGGATATTAAATCTACTTTACAGGAAAAAGATCCAGGAGGTTACAGTGTTATTTTTAATCATCCCGAAAGTTAGCACGACATTCCTATAAACAAAACAAACAGATTTTTCCAGCTTCTCGTTACTTCAGTATGTATTAGCAGTTTACTCGATCTGTTATCTAACAGTACCTGCCTAATTAAAATAATAATTGTGTGAAACTGATAGAATGAAATTTGTTTTAATCACAGGAACGTTATAAGGTATCGTGTTAAATAAATTTGACCCAGTTTAAAAAGAAAATGCCCCCAACCAAACCATCTTAGGGCTACAAATCTAACGCTAGGAGCGCGATTGGACATGTTTGCATCAATCTTCAGCATCAGAAACTTCCTCAGTGCCCGAGTCCTCATCGGAGTACGAATCCTCCTGAAAGCAAATATTCTGCTATTGGTTGTGGACTGTGGTCCCACATACTCGCAGTCGAAATTACTGCTAGGGCTTTCGTCCCGCGAATTTCGGTCTTCAAGAATTCGCGAGCTTCGAGGTTTTTTTTGCATTTTCGAGACTCGAGACTGATGTTTTCAGGCTCCGGAATATCGAGACTTTGGAGACTTAAAAATATATTAAATCACACTGGGGCTCTACTCCTGTTCCTGTCCAACATGCGGCAAAAATAATTGCTGTCAAATAAGTAATACTCGACAAATTAAGAGACGTATGACGCGAATGAAGCTTCGTACTTGACATTGTCTTTTGAATGGTCGCGTATGACTTGACAGTAATTGTGTCGGGCGGAATGTCGAACGAGAACGAGAGTCTGATCCCTCGTTCGAATCCCGCCGGATCGAAAGAATTTTTCTTAGTGTTCTATCTTTGTTGAACAAGCTAGTGGACTAAATTCACAAAAAAATGACTGAATATCATAGCAAAGCACCGTGATATTCAATAAACATAATCCTACAATTACTAAATCAAGCCATTTTTATTCTGGCTACATAGACATGGCAACACCGTATAACTTGTATAAAACTAAATAAACTTGTATAATTAATTCTTGGTTTCTGTGTTATGAGTTAATAAAGAAACTGATTATAAATTCTTTTGAAATAGTCTCGAAAGTCTCGGTTTTTTAACGCAATTTTAGAATCTCGATTTTTTTCTGGCACGGAAATGCAGCTAGACTGAAAGCCCTAATTGCTGTACGCGTCCCACACCCTTACTATCAAAAAAAGAAAAATTCATATCTCATCTCCAGAAAAGAGTTTTTTTTTTTCGTTTTTCTTTTGTAAATAGCAGTGTCTCTACTAATATTGAAGTTGGATTCAGTATTTGAAGAGACAAAGAAACGCCCGCAAATCCAGAAACGTATTATCGGTGCATAATCTCTCTAAAAGCAAATATACCGCTGTACGATTGTGGGAAAACCACAGACGCAATTGACGTAGATACCGTATCATACCCACGTTCTCGCGCTACATGAAATTAGGGACATT